CCCCCCCCCTCCTTTCGGAGAGCGAAATTTCCGATTTTTTCGCTCTTCGAAATTCTTAATTTTTTTATTTCTACTTACGGTCTACAGCTGTCGTTTCGACCAGTGTCTCACGTTCCCGGTGGTCGGGTCGAGGCGGAGAGCGTATTTAACTTTCCCGATCCGGGTGCGCCAGCGTTTGCTGCCGATGGGCACCCGGATCAGGCACCCGTCCACCAGGACATCCCGTTCTTCCCGCGGTGTCGTCGGCCGTATGCAGAAGGGGTCGCGGGGCATCTGCGGCGCCGTTCCCCTCTGAGCAGTGTCCGGTATTGGTCCGGGGGCAGTGGCGGCCCGTGTAAGGGATGGAGTGGTCGGTGCGGTGGTGCCGGTGGCCTTCCTCCCGGTTGTATCGGCTGGTGCGGCGGCTCCCACTGTGGAGACGGTGGAACTCCTCGCGGTTCCCGGAGGTCTCAGAAGCCGGAAGGTGTGGGGAGGGTACACCTCTATAAATTTTATGGTGGGCCCGGCAGTCGGAGCGGAGGAGGGGGCGGCGTTGGTCGACGGCTCGTTCTCCTCCTCGGAGAGGTGCACCTCCGGGATACTCTCTGGTGGTGGTCGTTTTCCGTCGAGCCCGCGGCGGATCCTCTCCGGGTTGTTCCGGGTCCGGCGGGCCATGGCTTTCCGCCAAAATCTCTCTGCGTCGCCTCGTTTCGCTGCGGAGCCCGGCGGTCGGCTCGAAGTCACCCCGACTAGGGGTGGTCTGGCGGACGGCGGCGTCAGTTTTGGGCGCGTCGGGATCCTCGCGGTTGGGTCCGACATCTCAGAAGCTCGGCGGCAAACTAATTTTTCCGCGTCCGGCTTGCGAAGTTTTATTGGACGCGCGTGGGTGGGGGGGAAAACAGGGTGGCCCTCTCTCGGAAAATTCCGGAAGTAGTTCGCGGAAGTAGTTTGGGCGAGATACAAGTCCGGCAGGAATTTAAGTTAAATACAGGCCCGGCGGTAATCGTAACTAACAGGCGGTCGCCGCAAATCGATCAAAACGCCTTACTATGTTGCGGCTATGGTCCGGGATTTTTACGGAAATATCGGCCTCAGAGGTAATTCGCGAAACACTATCTTTCGAAGTAATTCGACGGGATATCGGTTTCGAAAAATAGTTTTCGCGCGGAGTACAGGCCCATTACCGTGACTGGTTTGATTTGAGGTCGCGTACGTGTACACGCGACACGGTATTTTTACCGTCGATGGTTTTCAAGTCGAAGACCACTGGCGATCGCACCCGGTAAACGATGAAAGGACCCTCGAATTTAGCTGCGAGTTTAGCGTTAAAGGCCTCTGCTTTGCTGGACAACTCGTGCGTGCGCTTCCACACTTCTTCCCCGACTCGGGGCCTCCAATCGCGGCGCCGGAGATTATAGTGGTGCTGCTGCCGCTGAAAACTTTGCGCCAGTTTTATTTTCGCGAGTTCCAACGCTTCCCGGATCTGTTTTATTCTTGTTTCGGAATCTTCTTTCTCGGTATTCGCCGATGTTTGGCCTACACTCCCGGACGGTCGCAACTCTCGACCGAAATTTAAATAAGCTGGCGTGTACCCCGTTGATTCGCAGTGCGCGGTGTTGTACGCATAGGCAATCTCCGGGATAAATTTATCCCATTTTTTCTGCGACTTTTCAATAGTTTGCGCAATCATGGTCTTGATCACTTTGTTGGCTCTTTCAACTGGGTTACACTGCGGTGTGTACGGTGGCGTCAAGCGGTGCGTAATTTGGTATTTGTTGAGCAGGCTTTCGACATCGGTCGAAATAAACTGTCGGCCGTTATCGGTGATTATCGTTTGCGGACAGCCATGTCGTAACAGGATTTTCTCTCGGAGGGCCTTCGCTACCGCGGTTCCCGTGGCTTTTCGCATCGGTTGCAATTCTACCCACTTCGTCAGTTTGTCTTGCAAGACCAGAAGCCATGTATTGAGGTTTTCTGATCTTGGAAGCGGTCCGACTAGATCGGCGGCTACTATCTCCCAAGGTTCCTTGACTTCGAGCGCGTGTAACGTTCCGGGCGGTTTACGCTGTTCGTTTTTAAACTTCTGACAGTTTTCGCAATTACGCACGTACCGTGCTGCCTCCCGAAACATTCCAGGCCAATAGTATGTTTTCGCCAGGCGAACGATGGTCTTCGCGATGCCCAAGTGCCCTGCC